ATGTCATGGTTTTGTGTTTAAATACGGCTTGTAAAATAAGTCTTAAGTATGTTAAATTGTAGATCTCACTAATGCTGTGAACTGTCTCAAAAAATATTTTTAAGTAATTTGCAAACTTCAAATCTTATCTCTGCTACCATACAAATCAACACTTACTCTTAACTAGTGACATAACTGGGAGCTTTTAATTAATTAACATTGACTAATGAGGCTCATTCTTTTAAGCAAAGAGATATCTTGGGAAGCTTGCTGAATTAATTGCTCTTTCAAATAGCACAGTGTGAAAGGCATGGACAAAACTACACTTGTACTCAAATCAGATCCAGGTCCTTATCCAAAAGTTTTTCTTCCTTCCATTTTAATTCTTTCAGCATCAGTATCACTAATGTAGACTTCTGGTTATGCATAGAACTCTTCATATCTCTCTTTTTACCACTGAAATAAAACCCTACCTTATAAAACAAGCATGTTCAGACCTTTAGAGTCTAATTACAGTCTACTTTTTCTTAAATTATTTTCTAATATTATTTCACCATGTTCTCCAATCAGATTACTGTGCTTACTACTATCTGTTATATTTTCCACTTTTTTTTTTAATACTCCAGAGTCTAGATTTGTTTATGGAGTACATGTCCAGGCTGCAGCATATCAGTACAGAGAATGGTAGTGTTATTATTATCTAGGATACAGGCTTTTAAGATTCTATTAAAGGTGCTTGAGGTTATTTTCCCCTTTTTTGTACCCAAATTTTCCTTGGGCTGTCACTGAGCTTACATTCCACTCCAGGTCTTACTTACGTGACATTCTACCAGTCTAAGTGTCACACAGTCTTCCTGTGGCTTGTGAACTAAATGCAGCCCTATTCATTTGGCCTCTTTAAATTAATGTTTCTCCTCATGAGGACATCTCTTCTCCAGTTCTCCTACTATGACCTTATAAGATTAGTAGCACAAGAGGAAGAACAGAAGCAAAAGAAAGATTGAAGAATTATTTCCTTTAAACTACTTTCTACATGGCTAACAAAAACTCATTTAAAACTTAAACCTGATGCTCATGTTCCTCCCTAAACAAAATCTCAGTGGTTCTCTGCTGTGCCTTCATTCTGACCCCAGCTCTGATGGAATTCATTGTCCACCCTCATCTCCACCCCTATTTCTCACACTGTATCATCACATAGCCTGCTACTCCTGCAGACTTTGTGCACATATGTTCCTGGGTTGACACCATCCATCCTTTCCCTGCTCTAGGTAACTGAGAATCCTTCTTCAAGCAGGACTCAGTATGCTGCCTCCCCTTCCTGGAAGCACTCCTCCTTAGCACTTTGGAGTGGGATGTGTAGATAGGAGGGTCCTCTGTGGGTCCTGGGTTCACCTCCCAAGTCACTATGGTTGCACTAGTTTAATTTGTTTCACTTTCTTTCTCCCCATAAATAGGCTCAGCCCCTCAGTTCCAGTGAATCTCTCTCATCTCTGTAGCCGCAAGTGCTAAGAATAGTGCCAGGTACTTGTATCCATTTATCTTACCAGTAAAATTATTTCTGATTAATTTTTTCTTACTCAAAAGTGTAGGACAAGACAAAAAAAGAATATGATAGAATTCAATTTAAGCAAAAACAGGATCTCAGTGTTTTAATCTATTAATAGAATGTGACTATTTCTACTTTGCTACGCATTGTTCTTACATTGCAAAGAATGCAGAAGAAGGTGACTATAAATAAAAGCCATCCATGAGATTATTTTAATTTATTACCACTGTAAGACTAAATAAAATAGCCACAAATAATTCATCATAAAGGAGATGAGCTGGGACCCAGTCTCAGTCCCAGTGAAACAATCACTGGGCTTTCTAGGTAGGAAACCTGGTGACATTCAGATCCTGATGGATTTGCTTTATTTGAAAAATGCTTGACTCAAGGACAATTGAACATTGTCCTTCTGTCATGACCATCTTAAATAACACTGATCATGACAAATAGGTTTTACTGAAATGAAGGATTTATATAAACTATGATTCTGAAGACTTCTAGTGCCTTTTTCTGAAAAGATTTTAAATATATGTTTAATCAGAGGTAATCTCTCAAAGGCACATCCAGTTAAAGATCTACAATCATTAAGTCCCAAATACTCTTAAAATAATGTAAACCTCTTCATGTCACTTTCCTGCCCACTAAAATGACTAAACAAAATTAACAAATGTACTATTCACCTCTTTATTCCTTAGATTATGTCAGCAAATGTATGTTTTAAGAAATCTAAAGGTTTCTTATCAGGCCCTAGGAAATTACCAATTGGTTAATCTGTGTATTTTAATGATTGGGCTCTTTGCTTCTCTGAGAAGCAGAAAACTGTTTTAAAGTCTAGGATAGCTGAGACTTCATTACTTGTTGCAAAATAGAATTTATTTTAAGTGGTAGAGTCCCACCAGGGAGCGCCAGTCTGAATAATTGCCCTTCTAAGCAATCTACTGAATGAAGTTCCATTGCATTCACTGAGAAGAGCATCTTCAAATGTGATTTACATTTATCTCTAATGAAAATTAATACATACTTCACACTTTCTGATTTTTCTATGTCCCTTCTGTGGCAATATAATTTCTTATTACTTTTATTTGCCTTTACAAATTATGAAGTAATGTTTGTGACTGCATGAATCTGCTTTGCTAAGCACTTAGACTTGTACCATCTAGTTCTTTAAAATACCTGCTATGTCACATTCTGCAATTTAATTTTATTTCTTTTAATACGAAATATGTCTTGACTTGCTGACATGATTTTATCATAATCCAGTATTTTTTATCTCCAGCTAGAAAAAAAATCTAATAAAAGTTTTGAAAAAGTGACCTAGCCATGGCCTTAATTGAAAAAAAAAATGAATGGTATTAGATAATAGCTACCATATCTAGAGTGTAAGTTCCACATCAGAAAACATGGGATGTACTTTACAGGCATGAGTTCCCTTGTAATGAAGGAAGGATTATTTCTCCCATTGTGCTAAGGATAAAACTGAAGCCTAGAGTTAAGAATATAATGGCAGACAAAATAAGTCACACACACAAACTTAAACACTACATATTTGTTCCTATATAAGAAACACAAAATATAAATAAATTAATCAACAAAATAAAAGATTGATAATAGTATATTAGGAGAGAGATTGTTTGCAACTGCGAAGAGGAAGAGGACCAAAAAAAAATCAAGAAAGGGGAGAGGAAGGGTAGGCAAAAGAGGTGAAAAAAGAATTAAGATGAGTTTTGTACATACACCAGTTCCCACAATGAATGTAATCATTATGTACTGCAAACTTGTACTAATAAAAAAAAATTAAAATTGGAGTTAAGTAAATCCAAAGTCAATACTTGCAGGTGTTGAGCCAATATTCGAATGCCAGTGTCTGATACCAAAGCCAAGGCTTTTATACTAAACGAGGCCATAATTATGAATGTAGAGATGCCACCAACATGTGTTACCTCCTGTTTTTCCATCTTCCCCAGGTCAAGAAAGGCAGAAACTATGGCCACGAATTTTCTTTATTATTATTTATTATTCATTTTAATGAGAAAATAAAATATCAATGAAACAGTTTCAAAACAGGTTAGTAGCACAATTACAATAATTAATACATTGCATATTGTCTTCGTAGTGGTTATTCCTAGGACAAGATGCAGACATGATATCTTGTCTACACAATATTGGTACAAACCTTTCTTCTCATTGAACTAGAAGAAAGTAGCTGTATATCTATCCTATTTTGTATATGCCTATATATTTTTTTTCACTACAAAATGGTCCTTTATTTATATCCCCCTTTTTTTTTGTTTTGTTTTGCAGAGATGAGTGTTCCATTGTTATTAGAGAAGCTGTATTAGGAAATGTCTTTAAAGGACCTTTTCATACTTGATGCCAGTTCAAATATTGTAGGTACTTGAATTCAGCAAAATAACCCAATATAGTCCAATAATAGTACTGGGTTATCAGCAGAACTGGTAATTGTCAGAAGTTGTTGACTTGAGCCTTTTACAGCTCAGCATATTAATATGGCATTACTGTTTATACCTTGTGGTTATACTTTTCTTCTGGATGGTTAAGATCAAGTTAAAGCAAGACCTATATAACTAAAAATGTAATTTTTGTGTCTGACAAGGTCAGTCAAATTGCCTCAGGATTTACCCTGAAACCATGTACAGCACTTTGTAGATCTTTTGTCAGAGTCAGCCATCTGAATTATGTAGTCCATCTCAGAACATATACTAAAAGTGACCTATTTTATAGAGTTAGGAGTCAGTGTGTCATTTAGTTGGCAATTACCCTTTCTTTGACTTCTGGCAGAAGCTCTCTCTGGAGCCAAGGCTAATCATTTTCCTCTAATGATGAAGGAGGAAAGCCTGAGGCTACCCTGCAAAGTGCAAGTTTATTTATCATCTTTTTGTTGTTATTGTTAGTCTGTGAATGATATTCAACATGCAGCTTTTGCTAATCCCACAAGGATAGAAATGTTAATTTTTACCAGTTTACAAGGAAACACACTGATAATAAGACTTGGCCACTTATGTTATGGATGCAATTTTGAAGCAAGTATAAAACTATATGCATACTTATTGAAAGTCACTCTCATACCAAAAAAAAATTATTGTGCAGATTTAGTACAGTACAAATAATGGAATATGATAAAATCCCACAGCTTTCATAACTTTGAATGACATGAAAGTACATAATACCTCACAACACAGAACGGTTAATACATCTCTTAACAAATTAAAAGATTTGGCATAAAATTAATGCAAGCACCTGGAGAGACTGTTAAAATCCAAGGATGAGATTTAATTAGATCAGTGACATAAAACTGCTCTAGAGTCTACATTGTTAATTCCTGAGGAAAAACTAGCCAATGTCTATGTTACAAAAGAGATTTTTTTCATAAGGACAGAGAAACCAAGATAATCACTTCTTCCTGCTTTAGCCTCACTTCTCTTCCTTACTTTTTGCTTCTGCTCCTCTTTGCCAGGTTTCTAGCCAACACCACTTTCAGAGGCCTCAGTGGCTCCATCAAAGTAAGAGGTTCTACCATTATCAGCTCAGAAAACAACTTTTTCATCTGGAATTTGCAACATGACCCTATGGGAAAGCCAATGTGGACACGCTTGGGCAGCTGGCAGGGTGGCAAGATTGTCATGGACTACGGAATATGGACAGAGCAGGCCCAGAGGCACAAAACTCACTTTCAGCACTCAAGTAAGCTACACTTAAGAGTAGTAACCCTGATTGAACACCCATTTGTCTTCACAAGGGAAGTAGATGATGAAGGCTTGTGCCCTGCAGGACAACTCTGTCTAGATCCTATGACTAATGACTCTTCCCTATTGGACAGCCTATTCAGTAGCCTCCATAGCAGTAATGATACAGTGCCAATACAATTCAAGAAATGCTGCTACGGATATTGCATTGATTTGCTGGAAAAGCTAGCAGAAGACATGCATTTTGACTTTGACCTTTATATTGTTGGAGATGGAAAATATGGAGCCTGGAAAAATGGCCACTGGACTGGGCTGGTGGGTGATCTTCTGAATGGGACTGCCCACATGGCAGTAACTTCCTTCAGCATTAATACTGCACGCAGCCAAGTGATAGATTTCACCAGCCCTTTCTTCTCCACCAGCTTGGGCATCTTAGTGAGGACCCGAGACACAGCAGCTCCTATTGGAGCCTTCATGTGGCCATTGCACTGGACAATGTGGCTGGGGATTTTTGTTGCTCTGCACATCACTGCCATCTTCCTCACACTGTATGAATGGAAGAGCCCCTTTGGTATGACTCCCAAGGGCCGAAACAGGAGCAAAGTGTTCTCTTTCTCTTCAGCCTTGAATGTCTGTTATGCCCTCTTGTTTGGTAGAACGGCAGCGATCAAACCTCCAAAATGTTGGACTGGAAGATTTCTAATGAACCTTTGGGCCATTTTCTGTATGTTTTGTCTCTCTACATATACAGCAAACTTGGCTGCTGTCATGGTAGGTGAGAAGATCTATGAAGAGCTTTCTGGAATACATGACCCTAAGGTAATATGTCCTTTTATTCTGGATTTCTTTATTGTCTATTGTAGCCCATGTGAGGTCTCTTAGGCTATAGTGTGTCTATCTGCTTCATCTAATGCAAAAATATTCTCTCAGTCTATTATAGAGGCTAGTGTCCAAGAGTCCATAGTCTGGTTTAACCAAATGTTTTATTGTTTTATTAAATGAGACAAAGGAGTGAGGAATTTTAGAGCTTTTCTTCTAGATAAAGTACTGTATTTCTCAAAGAAAAATTTACTGGTGTAGCTTTTTCTCATGTTACTTAGTATCTGGCAGAATAATTATCAGGGAATAGTCTTCCAAAGTAATTTTTGTTACCCAAAGTTAACCTCAAAAAGTGATTGATTAGTTCTTGGTAATTAATGGAAATAAGATGTAGATTTTAAGTAGTAAACCATATTCTTTGCCATTAAAAATACTAGAAAATAAAGAACTACTATGTTATCCTAAACACATCAAAGTCAACTACTCAGAATCTCAGCAGCTGGAGAATAAAGAGAGTTGAACTAGGGTGGTAGGATTAACTAATGACAATTTATCCTCACAGAGTAAGCAAAACTGTACATTTCTGACTGAGTTGAGAGGAGTATTCAAACAATCATGTTAGAACATGCAGAGATATTAAAGGAAATTATAACTATCTAGGCTGCCTTTGATAGCTTAGACATCATTTTCGTGGAGTAGAAGGAAGGGGCAGGGGCCACAGAGATAGTTCATCAGTCTAAGCTTCTGAGGAGGAGGAGGAAGAAGAGGAGGAGGAGGAAGAGGAAGAAGAGGAAGGGGCAGTACAGGTAAGCAGGTAACATATGATACCAATCAAGTAAAAATAGCAATATCTTCTCCATGGATTAAAAGAGCATCCTTTTCAGTGGCTGGGTATGTGAAGAATCAAGCCCACCCAATAGGAAAAGTGAGAAGAGCACCTGGAGCTGAGCTGAGTCTTTTAAACAGTAAATCACCCACCACACTCAGGTGCTTCCTGCCACACCAAGTCTTGAGGCACGGAATTGTTCATTTAAAACTTGTATCAAACATTCAAAATGACTCTTTATGGAGCAGGAACAATGCAGACATCTACAACTGTCTTCAACAACTGATAGAGTGGCCCAAAAGCTTGGTGGCAGCTTTAGAAAACTGTTAGGGACAGTTTTCATTAGGGATATAAGGCCTGTTTTGCAACCAAAAGACCATGAGAAATTTAACCCATGTACTATTACAAATTTTAAGTAGTAAGTGACACAAACTTCATTAACTAAAGAAGAAATTTGTTGCTCTTTATTTTTATTTTTGAAGTATTAGGGAATAAATCCAGACCCTCACATATGCTAGACTCTGAGTACTGTACCACAGAGCTAAATCACTATCCCCATTTTTCTTCTTAATAAGTACTGATGGATTTATGCTATGAGCTAGAGTGCAAAGCACACAAATAACATCATTAGCATAAATAAGTATATCACCACAAAGACAGATTTTCATGACATACCTACATTCACACCCTGCTGCAGCATTAGCATTCTCTGTTTATTATTTTCTCCAGTAGGCCTACAGATCTCTTAAAGATTCACAGGCTTGCTAGAGTATTATGCAGATTTTTTGCAAAAATCTTGCCAATTTGACTTCTAAATTGCAAATTCAAAATGAAATCTATTCAGTCCATTCTAGTACAAAAACAAACTAATATGTGCATGTTATGCAGATTCTAGACCATTATCTTATGTGAAAAGCTGAACACAATACTGACTAGTTTCATTCATCAGAAGGAAGTATTACCAAAATTAGCTTGCTGATGTTATGCATGAAAAGTTGAACCATTGACTATTCTAAAGGATAAAAACAAAAATCAGGCAAATAAAACATATGGTTTTTCAGGCAGATATACAATACAGAGCAGTAAAATAATTTTTAACCAAAAAAGAAATAATCATTCCTTCACCAACTCTACCAAAATTTAAAAAGTGAAATTTTTAGAAAGCTAACCCAGCCCAAAGGAAAGATGATTATTACAAAACCGGGCAAAGTCAGCTTTACAGTATAGCTGGTCAGTTCTTAAGGGAGACAGAACTAAATCAACACTATTTTTAATTTGAAATAATGAAAGAATATCCAATGAAGATTCAGAAAAGATGTATTTATCTATGTTATATTTAAAATATAAAAGTCTCTCATGTAGAGCATTTTTAGTATGCAAAGATACCCAGGTTACTTGGCTACACCAAATACCTGCCTATTTCTGACACCTGGACTTTTAGAAAAATATGTTGATGACAAGACTTTTTCGCTTTCATCTGGATACATGGCACCATGAAATTTCCATAATATCCTCATCTTCCCACAGAGAGGTAAGATAAAAACAATTTCCAAACTCCTTGGTCATTCAGCTTTTATTCTTAAGTATATCATAATTACTTTTCTGGCTGTTTTTCTCTCCTACTCATGATAATTTCTTTGAGGAGAGTTCTATCATTTTCTTACACTACATGAAATGGAGAGTTCAGATTTAAATAAATCCTGATTCAGCAGCAGTCAAGTAGGGAAAAGAAAACATAAATAAAAGGTGAAATAGTTCAGAAAGTTATAAACATGCCCAGGTTAGAAATGGAAGCAATGTAGCCAAGTTCAAGCAAGGATGATTATCTTTAAAGCAAGAAATGAAGGGGATGCATAAATTAACAAGGTAAAATGTTTTCTTATTCTTGAAAAATACTCAGAATTGGATATGTGCCTCAGGAAAGTGAAAAGCACATTCCAAGCAAAGGAAGTAGAAAGCAGGAAGCACACTGAGAAAGACTGTGAGGAATTCAAGTTAGCCAGCATGCTACAGCAAGGTATGGAGAGATCGAACTCTGAGCAAATCAAGTGTTATTATTGTAGTGACAAAGAATCTTTGACGTCAACCAAAGAAAAGTGAACTACCTCTGGTAACAGAACTCCAGTGCTATTTTTGGGCAAGGTCACAGCACAGTGGAGAAGTATTCACTTAGGATGTCCATTTTGGTAGCAACAAATGAACAGATTGGAAGAGAAAATGAAAGAGTTAAAGTTATAGTTATGATCACTGACAGAAGGAACTATGTAATTGAAGGCCAAATCAGCAAAGGCATGAGAGGCAGCATACAGCTATAACTTCAAAGTTACAATTCTGAGCATCTGAGAAAATGATGCATTTTACATCATTGAGCATCACTGCACAATCTAAGAATGCAGAAAAAAAAGACATTTTGTTGGCTTCAATATATGATCTGATTAGTTTCATTTGTAGCATTTTATAAACTGTTGTGACTACACAGTTGTAGCAGGATTTGCCAGGGAACAGATTTAATATATAATACATAAGTTTATAGGATTATCTTATAATATTCACCCAAAAAATCAAATACAGAAGAGTGGAAAAGATTCGTCCACAGGCTAGACACCTGAGGAGTCCAACCAAGGCCTGAATCCCCCAGCAATGCCCCACACAAGTCCAGCCGAAGGCCTGGAGCCCATGGCAGTGTCTCATGCAAGTCTCTATCAAGGTTCTACACCTGATATGACCAAGCACCAGTGATAGAAGCTAGAAAGTCTGTGGCAGTAGGATGAAAGAGCTATGCCAGCGGGCTGCAGGATATGCCCTGGGGTCAGAAGTGACACTCAAGAAAAAGGCTAGGACCAGAGCTCCCCTGAAGAAAGCAGTCATCCTGATGATGGCAAGGACTTGAGCTGCTCAAAGGATGAGACTAGCCAAGTTCATATGAGGGAAACCAGCTGCAACAGAGCTTCTCCTGGGAAATTAGAAGCATCAGTCTGCCCCTCCTGTTCTCCTTTCATGCCATTCTGGCAACAATACTCAGGTGGGTGTCTACACCCAGAGCCATGCTGACTCATTTCAGTTGGGTGTTCCCCCTCTAGTTGACCATTAATTAATCCACCATACAGGTATTTTGAAACATGGAATCAGAGTTCAGAAATGAGAATGAAGCTAGTGGGAATTCCAAAGAAGAAAGTGATATGGAGTGATAAAGTGATATCCCAAAGGGAGAAGACCACAGGGAGAAAAAGCTACATTGTTGGAAGAAAGGCACCAGGAGTAAGGAGGCCCAAGATGTTGCAAAATCAGATTTGTGGAGAAAAGAAGTAGAAGGGAAAGGAAAATGTGCCTTGTGATAAAGTCATGTCCTTGAATGTCACTCCACAGATTGAAATTTTTTTACAATGCCTGCATTTTGACTTCTAAGGAAAAGTTTGCTATCATCCTATCTGCCAAGAATCTACCAGGACTCTTGGCCTGGTTATCACAGAAGGCAGAAATAGATCAGTGCTCTGTCCAAACCAAGAAAATTAAGGAGAATGTGTGTTCATGTGTGTATGTGTGTGTATCTATACATATACATGTGCAAGTGTGTGCACGTGTGTGTATGTATGTGTTCATGTCTAATAAAATGAAGCTTCTATAATTTGATTTTTTTCTAGTGCTTTTTTAAAATTTCATTTTCACTCTGAATTCATTTCATAGTATTTTAGTTCTAGTGAAGGAGCATTTATCATGTACATTGAAGTCACAAATCTTTTGTATTTGTTTTTCTGCTGTAAGTTGAAAACTCTGGGCCAGAAAGATAGCTCAGTAGGATAAGCACTTGCCCAGCAAGTGCAAGGTCCTGAGTTAAATCCTTGGTACCACAAAAAAGAAAGAAAGAAAGAAAGAAAGAAAGAAAGAAAGAAAGAAAGAAAGAAAGAAAGAAAGAAAGAAAGAAAGAAAGAGAAAAGAAAAGAAAGACAACTCCCCCAAATCAAGATGAGAGGTGACTTTTTATATAGAACATCCACCATGCTCTAAAGACACTTCCACCCTGCCTCACAGCTTTACTTCTCTTCATATCCTTTAGCACCACCCCCATCTATTAAGCAACAGGATAACAGGTTGTTTGCCTTTTTCTTCTGGTTTTCACTATTAAATACTCAACTAACCTCTCTCAAGCAAACTTTCCTGGGCTTCCACATTAATA